TGTATATTATATTTAATGGACATTATAACAATTTTTTTTTTTTTTTTGGTCGAAAATTTCTTAAATTTTGTTTATTAGCGGAATTTATGCTACTAAATTTTCGTGGTTAAAAATTGAGGGGTATGGAGATAATGCGCATCGTGTGTATCTCCAATAGGATCGGGCTTAATGACGATTTTACTCGTTATTAGCATTTATAATTTTTTTTATAAAACCCATCTCTTAAAATTCAAAATTAAACTTTTTGCCATTTTATAATAGTGAGATTCTGGAGACAATTAATTAATTAGATTAATTATAACACGTAATGATGAAGTAGAAAAAAACCCAAATCTCCACCTGGCATTTCCGTAGACCTCTCATTCTATAGATAAGGACGATCGAATAACCTTACAAATCAACAATCTTTAACGATCTTTTACATAAGTTCGGAGATAAAACCAAACAGCTAATTATTGATTCAAAATTGCGTAAATTATAAGGTAGAGTCAGAACACATGGCAAAAAGTATCAACAAACCGGCCTAGTCGTCAAACTGTTATGGCCCGTATCAGCCGGACGAGTGATAGGCTACATCTAGACCTTAGACTATATTAAATCAAAAATCACCGGATTTTTCTCCCACACTTAGGAGGATAAAAAGGGCACGCACTCAAACTTTGGGACGAACACTCCCAAGAAGCTAGAGTTCAAGCTTCCGTCCGTCGCCACTCTCGTCTCCTGTCTCTCCTCCAAGATGATGCTGGAGCATTTCACGGACGTTCTCATAAACAGAATCAGAAGCTNAATAAGCCAAACAAAACTTAGAAATCTATCATTAATTTCTATTGAATCTACATTGGCTGCCATTCTAGATTACGGTTCCCTAATTAACGAATTTGCTAAAGTTAAAGTTAGAAGGGTAAAACTGTAGTAGATTCTTGTAGTTGATACTTGATATCATTATTTTAAAGAAATTTTTATTTTCAAAATAAAAATAGTATTCGTACAATTTGTGCAGTTTTTTTTTTTTAAATCACAACCGAAGGTATTTTAGAGAAAAACATTTAAGGGGCGGCATTTCGAAGACTTGCATCACACTGAGGAAATCTACGGCACGGCCCTACTTGCATGCATCACTGGTATAAATTAGGGGCAACAAGGGGGGGCGCCATAATAGGATCTCGCTCCATCCTAAAACTTACCTCGGGCCGGCACTGAGAGTCAGAACACATGGCAAAAAGTATCAACAAACCGGCCTAGTCGTCAAATTGTTACGGCCCGTATCAGCCGGACGAGTGATAGGCTACATCTAGACCTTAGACTATATTAAATCAAAAATCACCGGATTTTTCTCCCACACTTAGGAGGATTAAAAGGGCACGCACTCAAACTTTGGGACGGACACTCCCAAGAAGCTAGAGTTCAAGCTTCTGTCCGTCGCCACTCTCGTCTCCTGTCTCTCCTCCAAGATGATGCTGGAGCGTTTCACGGACGTTCCCATAAATAGAATCAGAAGACATCAAACCTTTTAACAGGTATTCAATATAGACTTATGTAAACTCTCTCTTAGTTTCTGTATTTAGCTCTGTATTCAGTGTTTAATATTTAGCAGGTAGGTTATTGCCATAGACATAGTTTTATCTCCTTTGTATTTAACCTATGTGTTCATTAAACTTTCGTTAATTGTTATCCGGATCTCGAGATCGATTTGCTTGGATTGCCGATCACCTATCGACGAACTCGCCGATTCTCCCCGCTAAAACGATAGGCCCTCCCACTATGAATAATGAATCTTCCCAGTCGACTGGAATTGAACTACAATTATCTTCACGAGTTAGGACGCGCATTCTTACTATCGTAACTGGTGTCATTATCTGATCTTACAATCCGGACTACAACTAAGATTAGTGCTGGGTGATTAATCAATCGCAATGGAAACTAATCGATTATAGTAGGAATCGATTACCTCATAATAGAATAGAAACACTAATCAATTGATTAAACAAATTTGTCCCACCGGTCAGAGCTCAGGAGTGAGCTGATAAATCGAGTCACGAGGGTGCAAGAAGAAGAAGATGAAGAAGATTAAACAAACATGGCGGCGGCGACTAGGAAGAAGTCAGAAGTCTGGCGTTACTTTAAAAAAACGTTGGGACGGATTTCGCAGAATACACAATCTGCAAAAAAACGTTTAAAAGTGTGTGGAAACAACCAATTTTGCGATGCATTTCGAAGATTATCATGAACACGTTTTTCGCAAGAAGGTGAAAGTTGTAAATCGTCCTTCTACCTCACATAGTCAATCTGACCACATGGTAGTCGTGGAAGTGAAAGGTAACAGTAGGCCTAACTGTGCTGCTTCTACCTCTTCACAGTCGTCACAAATAAGTGTCATCGATTCGTTTTCCCTGATTTCATTTTACAGTGGTAAGTTAAAGTAAAACTTTTATGAACATTTCAAAAGTTATTGTGGTTTAATGAATTTACCATTTTACATTTTTTGATTATTTTATTTTATTGAATAATGTTAACTTGATTTGTCTTGCCATGTGGTAGTTAGGATTCTTGCCACCACGGGGCAAGACAAATCAAGTAAGTTAACATTATTCAATTACTATAACCTGCCACACAATTTTTAAAAAACCGTTTAATTATGTATTATATTTTAAATTAAGTTATTTGATTATATCAACGATTAATCTACTGATTGTCTATATTATTTTCAGAAGGAGGTGATAAGAACAAACATATTATAAATAGACTTGTTTCATTCATTATAAAAGATAATCTACCTGCTGATATTGTGAGTATAGATGACTTCAGAAAATTTATGAAGATGGTAAACTTACATTTTCGAGTAATAGACAAGAAAACGGTTCGAAATAAAACGATTTGAAGATTCAATTATGTTAAGAACAGCTGCAAAAACTTTTTTTATCCCAAAGTAAAATTTATCTTACAACAGATTCCTGGACTGATTCCTTTAATGTACGTTCATATCTTGGAACTACTGCTCACTTTGTGAAAGATTATGTTTGTAAAGTGCAATAATGGGACTTAAACATTTAGAAGCAAGTCATACAGCTGAATATTTATGCAAGTGCCTAGAAGTAACCTGTTCAATTGTTGGGATTGAAAAGCACAAAACAGTTGCAGTTGTTAACGATAATGCGGCAAATATTTGCGAAGCAGTACGTTCAAAAGAAACTTCCCCTTTGAAACTGAAAATCAGTGTACTCACCAGATGGAACTCAGTATATGATATGTTGGATCGATTTTTTGAAAATTAAAATTGCAATTGCCATTGTTCTACAGAAACTAAAAGATGCTCCTGATATGCTTGTTTTAACAAGCATATTAAAAGTGAGGTGGAAATCTTGGAAGAATTACTTGGCAACCTGAACTGATGGGTGAGAAGTACACAACAGTTAGTAAAGTGATTCCTGTTGTTGGCCTCATTGCAAAAGCTCTGAAGGCAACAAACCCCATCACAAAAGTTGGAAAAAATCTAAAAAAGGCCTGTTTCAATAATATCGACAAAAGATTTTGTGGCATGGAAACGAATATGTTCTACTGTACAGTGTTTCTACAGTGTTAAATCCCAGATTTAAGAATTCAGATTTCAAAAGCAAAATACGTGCTGTAAATGCAAATCTTTCATCAATAACTATCTATCCCGGCAGATTAAATATGAAGTAGACTGCGTGGAAACCTTAAGTGAAACCACTAAAAACACAGATGAGAATAATCTACAGTCACATAGGGAAATCAGAAATCCCATAAAATCTAAAGAAGGCTTTTTTACTACATTTAAAACTTAGAAGCTGTAACTATACCACACCACGTTGATCCTCTTGTTACATAGCAGTAAACGTTTGCCCATTTCAATTATCACACTCGCGAAACTGGCTGTTACATATTTATGTATTTCAGCAACCTCAGTACATGCAGAACGTCTTTATTATTATTGGAAATATTGTTACAAAGAAACAATGTGCATTATATCCAAAAAGAGTTGAGAAACTTGCTATTATGAGTAGCTTTGAGCTTAATGATATACTTTCTTTTTCGATATAGTTAGTTTTGTAATATTTTGTAAATTTTTAATTACAAATTAATAAATGTTCTATAAAAATGTAAAACCTGCGAGTGATCGTTTTGTTAACAAGTCCTATTAAAAATAATAGTGTTTTACTAACTTAATAAACACTGTTGTTATTAAAAATGTGGTAATCGATCCTAATCGATTTCTGTAATCGATTTTCATTTTTTAGGTAATCGCTCAGCACTAGCGATGAGTCGTGTAATAATCTAGGTACTCTAGTGGCACTGTATATTACATTCCGAAATATTTATTTGTAGTGAAGTTTTAATACGATATTATTCCTGATAAACTTGTATTAAAGTAAAACGGCATTGGAAATTTGACGGTTAATTTTATGATAAAAATATTTACAAAAATGAAAGTTTTTTCAATTGAATTAGACGGCGCCACTGAATTTCTTCCAGTTTGGAAAATGTTCCGTTACAACGGAATCGCTAAAAGACGTTTGAGCTGACGACGAGAAAGAAGACGAAATAGATTTTGTGTTGATTATTTATTTTGGAGTAGGCCAATTCTCCCGAGGAGAAACGGAAGAAAAGTTCTCGGCCTTTCGTCTTTTTAAGTAGAAGAACATTTTACTGGGTGAGTTAAAAAGTTTACTCTTTTCAAAAAATGATAGAAATATTACATCACACGCGAGTATTAAACCGAATGTAATTTCGCTTACAAAGATTATTGCTGAATATCGAAGAGATCGTCCCTCCCGTTTGAGAATGGAAAAGAATGAATCGAATAATTCCGTAATTAAAAATCATTAAAATGGACAACGGATTCAAATGTGGATTGTCCTCGAATTGTTCACATTTTACCACCGATTTTGATGGTGCGTGAATATTTGAGTTGAAAATAATTATTTATAATAGTTTCGAGAGAATTCATTTTTTAACATTAAAAGATGAAAGATGAATAAAAGATTATTTCCAGAAATTTTAGATCCACAAATTCTGAAAAATAGATATTATTAAATTTCAAATATTAGATGGCGCCACTTTTTTTTTTAAATTGACAGTTAGGTTGAACGATGTCCAGCTGGATTTCTTGTAGATTTCGGTTAGGGAAAGGGCAAAATATGTTTTTATGAAAAGTACTGAATAGATTCAAATTGTTTTCCGATGAGCTAAATCCTTTACGAAGAAATCGAAGGAGACGTTTCATTTGGCTGTTTTCTTGGTGTTCGTTTACTTCCCATCGTCTTGGGATCGGTTCGTAACTCGTCACTACCAAAAAGAACAGGAAATAAATAGTTGTAATGCACGAATCTTCGCTCGTTACTAGTGACGTATTTCTGTTTTCGTTACAGAAAAAAAATCGACAGAAGTTTTATTTTACTCTGTTGTTAACCCACGATTGTTTGCGTCCGAGAAGACACAGAGGGTGAAGATTGTGTTGTCATTTCAGCCGTATGACAAAATGCATGCAAGCATTTGGAATTATCGTCCACACAGGTTAGTCCTTTTGTCGACCTTTGACTGTCGCCATTATATTTCGACAATCGATAATCTGGGTGTAGATTATTTTAAATTTAACATAATTAATAGTCTTGATTAAAGGAGAAAATCTCGTTGACGATTTCTCGTTGACGAAAGGAAAAAAAAACAGAAGAAAGATTTTAACGAAGCGGAAGAGGAGACTTTTCAGATAACATTTGATGATGTATGGAATTTTCGTTCTCGTGGACTGTGGTAACAACTATTCTGGTATTTTCTGTGTCTTTCTTGTCTGAACTTTATTAAACTAGTAAGTAGATTTTTACTTTTTTCCTAAGGTAATTTTAATTAAAAAAACTTTTCAAGAAATGATTCAGTTTGTATAACTTAATTTTGCAATGAAAGCTGTAAAATAGGAAAACCGAAGGGAAGTCAATTCTTTATAAAATACATTTATACCTAATTTTCTTATTTTAAAACTCACAGATAAAACTACTTTATATATAAACATTTGAAATACATTGATACTGTTCCTGGATAAGAAAAATTAATTTGAATTCATTCATATGCCTTTGTGTCTTTATCATAAAATGTATTATGTAAGTATCTACTGGGACATATCGTATTAGTAGGTGTCCGAGTTCTGCGAATTGAAACTTATTCGGAAAAAACAATCTTTATTGTTCATATGTTTATTTTATATCGGTTTATTGTTTGAAAATATAATACCAAATATATGTTGATCTTTTTTAATTTAAATGTAATTATCTACTAAAAAACTAAGTCATTTTAATTGTATCATTGTCGGGAAAATATAACATTTTATGAAATCTTGTTTTAGCAAGTAGTGGCAGTAAACCTGCTGACAAAGGACCGAGAGGTTCGAAACACAACGTGTGTACAGCTGAAAAAGTGAACAATAAAGATCGTTTTTTTCTGAATAAGTATCCTCAATTCGCAGAACCCGACACAACTATAATAAGTCCTACTAATACCATATGTGCCAGTAGACACTTATATAATAAATTAATTTGAATTACTTCCATTTTCAGGTTTTAAACCGAGCCGTAATTTTATGGCCTGAAATGAATGTCCAAGGAAGAATTTCTAAATTTACTAATTTAATTTTGAAATTTTTAAATTTAACTTAGAAAGTAATATGTGACGATATTCTCGTATCTGATGTCATTTGGGACTTTTGTTGCTTTCAGATTCACTACCCGTCAATCAAAAACATTCCTGTTAGAGTAGTCGATGGATGTGTTGGACTTCTGTCGTTAACGGAACACTAAAATTGAAACCAGTGTTGTGAAATCATTACAAGAATATATCAACAAGGAAAACATCTTTCATGCGAGTGAAGAAGAGAAAAATCATTGAAAATATTTAAACATTTTTTTTCAAATATATATTTTTGTTTTTGCAAAATACTCTGTATATAAATTGTTTTCAGGAAAAATGTATAAACTACATTTGTTATTAATTTGTGATATTGTTTTAGTATGTGGTAATATTTGTGAATAGTTAATATTTCTAGTGTAATGTTTTTTTCGTATAGGTTAAACCTTTAAATTTTATTCAAAGAAAATTACCACAAAAACAAAAATTTATTTTCTATCTGCGTCCTATACATTAACAGTACTTTTAAAACAGTGTGAATTAAATTTAGATATTTACTTGAAAATAAATTGAAGAGAGTTTTCGTCTTTAAACATTGGTTTTACTATATTTATTTATCCTATTTTACAGGTTCAAACATTGAGAAGAGAAAGAATGGGAAGTATGAATGTGACAGTTGCAAGAAAATATTCATTTCGAAGCGAGGATTTGTATGTCATCGAAGGATTCACAGTGGAGAAGGACTCTTGTCTTGCGAATTCTGTAATCGTCAGTTCACTCAATCCAGCAATCTTCGTACCCACGTCAACACTCACACCGGAGAAAAACCCTTTACCTGTGATCATTGCAAACGGAGTTTTACACAGAAAGGGACTCTGATTGAACATCTGCGGACTCACTCAGGGGAGAAACCCTTCACCTGTGATCATTGCAAACGGAGTTTTACACAGAAAGGGACTCTGATTGAACATCTGCGGACTCACTCAGGGGAGAAACCCTTCACTTGTGATCATTGCAAACGGAGTTTTGCACACAAAGGACATTTGATTCGGCATCTCCGAGTGCATGCAGGGGAAAAGCCATTTTCGTGTACTTATTGCTTACAAAAGTTCAGTTTTAAATGTAATTTAAATAATCATATTATCAAATGTCATAATAATAATGAATAACGCTCTTCGTTATGAAGGAAAATGTTTACAAAAGTATTTATTCTTATTAATATTCGTATTTAGATTTTTTTTAATACAAAAAAGAAATTTTTGAAGTTTTATTTTTTACATTTTGTAACTTTGATATCGTTTATAAAGCAATTGCTTTTATGTATCGAAATAAAATAGTTTCGTTGATTAAAAAATGATTCTACAACGTAGAATTAACATGGTGTAATTTTACTGATTTATGTACATGTGTCATTGATTAATAGAGNGAGTTTTACACAGAAAGGGACTCTGATTGAACATCTGCGGACTCACTCAGGGGAGAAACCCTTCACTTGTGATCATTGCAAACGGAGTTTTGCACACAAAGGACATTTGATTCGGCATCTCCGAGTGCATGCAGGGGAAAAGCCATTTTCGTGTACTTATTGCTTACAAAAGTTCAGTTTTAAATGTAATTTAAATAATCATATTATCAAATGTCATAATAATAATGAATAACGCTCTTCGTTATGAAGGAAAATGTTTACAAAAGTATTTATTCTTATTAATATTCGTATTTAGATTTTTTTTAATACAAAAAAGAAATTTTTGAAGTTTTATTTTTTACATTTTGTAACTTTGATATCGTTTATAAAGCAATTGCTTTTATGTATCGAAATAAAATAGTTTCGTTGATTAAAAAATGATTCTACAACGTAGAATTAACATGGTGTAATTTTACTGATTTATGTACATGTGTCATTGATTAATAGAGAAGAATAAGATAGAGGGTGTTACAACGCACAGTGCTTTGTAACTTTAAAATATGGGTTCTAGCCATTAAACATTTTTATTAACAATTTTTAATGTCGAAGAACGTTAGTTCTAGAAGTTTTCCTAGAAAATGAATTTTCATACTTATAAATGTTTCAAAGATATAAAATGTGAAGAAAAACTCATTTGGGGTTTTTTTTTTGTTTTCCTTAAAAATATTAAAGGTCAAACAAATCACGTACTTGTAGGTGCTTGATGACAAACAACACGATGACAAAAATTAGCCAAAATTAGACAAAAATTAAAGTTAAAAACCACTGTGCTATGGATTTATTTTGGTTAAAAGCAACCACAAGTTCTGGACCGCCGGGTCGGCACTTAAGAATCACCAAACAATTTTAACAATAACAAATATCCGTTTATTAACTATAAGCTATTTACAATTAGGCTAAACATAGGCTGTTTACAATTGGAAGGTTGAACATTTGGGCGATCCCTTTACAAGGCTAGTACATTGTGTATCCTTCCACGAGTTTACATAAATTCTCGGACGGATAAATACATTGTAGAGGATCTGAGGATGCGCTTAGTTCCCAATCTGGTTGAGGACTTTAATTGACGACATGTCAAATTGATGATTTGGAAGTTTCGATGGATGGCTCTGGAAGCACTCGGTATATTTGGCAAGGTCTTGATATCTTGATATTCGGACTATTCAGGTGACGGGAAGGTCGTCAGAGGGAGGAAAGTCACTTAAAAATCTTCGGTGTCGGTAAGGTAGCCGAGCGCTAGTGCAACTCTGGCGAGGGCGAACTTTCGATGATGACGGATTACCATCGTCATCGATCCCTCCCTTTTATTGGGAGGGTCCTCGTTCTTTCTATTGTCCTTTTTGGTAATGTTATAGGTCGTGGCAAATAGACGAATTTCGGTTGAAGTTCCGGGTGACCATACGGAAGATGTGTTTGAAAGGAAGTGAATGCGGTAAATAACGCAGTCAGATCCTTTCATCTTTTTATTAATTGTTGAGAAAAATTTATATAGTTTTTTTGCGTTTAATAAAAATTTTAAAACGTTATTTATTTGGTTTATATAATTTTGCAAAAGTTTATAGTTAAATACAATCCGGCTCTAGCAACTGCGTCACATCATACACAAGAATAGCTTTCCGGCTCTTACAAATATTACCAATGAGCACAAATATTATTACAAATTATATAATTTATACATATAAATATACTTTTTTGAAGCAATTTATAGGTAAAATGTTTTGCAAAGATTATTGGATAATTTTTACAAAACATTTGCAAATAGCACTTAGGTAGATGAGTCGGTCATTCTTTACAATAATGCCGTCAGAATATGTAGAACTTTTTGATCGAGTGCATTCGAATGCACTTTCAGTTTCCGTGTCAAATTGCAATTTGAGTATCGGAAAATTTTTGTTGAGTAAAAATAAATAATTAGTGAAAAAATTATTTATTGTAATATAAATGATAATCGTATATTACAATGTTATGGTGAAATCTATATAATATGTACAGTACGTTAGGTACGATACCAGATTAAAATTCAACGTGTCATGTTAGGAATTTTTAAAAAACAAATCAAGTGTTTAAAAAAATAACGGTTATACTCACTATTTATGATTATAATTAATTTAATTTAAATAGTAATTTTATTGTAGAAATTTAGCCGAAAATGAAAACAAAAATGCACAGAAATAATGTTATAGAATTTTATTATTATCCGAGAATAATTAAATGCGCCTGATTTAAACACAATAATAATTGGAAACCAGAGATATGTGAGGTCCGACCTCAGAATAAGCCCAAAATTGTTCCTTTCCCCCCCTAAATTTTCGACGTATTTAAAATAAATTTGTCGCCTCCACGTTAAAATAACATTGTCAGAAAAAAGAATCATATATCGATCGAAACTGATAACTTTCATCGTTAATATAAACATTCAACCCTCGAACAATGACATTCCTCTGCTGCAAGACAAAAGTTTATAGTTAAAGTCCGAATTCGTCATTTTGTTTTGGGTCCCGGGAACAACTTTAACCTCCACACATGCAAGACCAACCCTACTTCTCACAATAGGTGATCACCTGACTGATTTTCCCAGTCCGAAGCTATAAAAGAGACTTCTTTCCCCCCTCCTCGGGGGAAGTCTCACATCTACGGAAAAAGGATTAAGTCTCCGGGAAACTTTAACTGTGTGCATCGATCACCAGCAAAAAGGANGGTTTCCTATGTAATGTTTTTAGTTTTTAATAATTTACAACCTTTATTTATTATATTTTAATTTATTTATACAGTGAAATGTTTAACTCATTAATTAATTATACAACGAGAAAAATACATTTATACTCGGGTTTGGAATATGTATTTACAGTAAGTTTTTAAAATTATTTTTATGGCTATGTAAAAAATTTTAACTTATACGATAACTTATCTTGTTTATTATTGTTACTTTTTAGTATGTGGTAGTAGTACTGCTGATGAGGGGCATGCTAGCCCGAAACACGTGTAATATGTGTACAGAAACTATTACTACAAGTGATATAATAAAGAAATTTTGCTATTTCCTGAACTAACTAATTGCTGTTTCAATCTTTAAACACCAGTATTAAGTCCTAGTAATAATGTCCAAGTAGATAATTAACAATAATATTAGAATTTAAAAAGGACAGTAAGGCTTTTACAATTAAATAGAAATTATTTATTATAATATAAATGATCATTGTATATTAATATATTATGGTATAAACTATATAATATGTACTTTAAATACTATACCAGATTTAAACTGAAGGTGTCCTATTAGGAATTTTTAAAAAGACATTGCCAAATTAAAAGTGTTTCACAAAATAACGGTTATATTTACAATTAATGATTTTAATTAATTTAATTCAAATAGTAATTTGTAGAAATTTTGCCGAAAATAAAAACAACAATGCACAGAAATAATGTTACAGAATTTCATTGTTGTCCGAGAATAATATAAGCCTAAATGCGCCTGATTTAAACACTATTAATGATTATAATCAATTTAATTCAAATAGTAATTTTATTGTAGAAATTTAGCCGAAAATGAAAACAAAAATGCACAGAAATAATGTTATAGAATTTTATTATTATCCGAGAATAATTAAATGCGCCTGATTTAAACACAATAATAATTGGAAACCAGAGATATGTGAGATCCGACCTCAGAATAAGCCCAAAATTGTTCCTTTCCCCCCCTAAATTTTCGACGTATTTAAAATAAATTTGTCGCCTCCACGTTAAAATAACATTGTCAGAAAAAAGAATCATATATCGATCGAAACTGATAACTTTCATCGTTAATATAAACATTCAACCCTCGAACAATGACATTCCTCTGCTGCAAGACAAAAGTTTATAGTTAAAGTCCGAATTCGTCATTTTGTTTTGGGTCCCGGGAACAACTTTAACCTCCACACATGCAAGACCAACCCTACTTCTCACAATAGGTGATCACCTGACTGATTTTCCCAGTCCGAAGCTATAAAAGAGACTTCTTTCCCCCCTCCTCGGGGGAAGTCTCACATCTACGGAAAAAGGATTAAGTCTCCGGGAAACTTTAACTGTGTGCATCGATCACCAGCAAAAAGGACTAAATTTTTCCCACCTACGTGGAAGTAAACTAGAGGTATGAAACAATTAATGTAAACTCTCTCTCCGCGAGTTAGGGGCTAGTAAACAAAATTCACTTCTCCGATGTTAGATTTTTTTGTATTCTTTAAATTTTTTTTTCCTTTTCGTTTATCTAATAAATCGTTGTTTCATTGTTAAATGGTGTCCTTTTACTCGCATATCGCCTATGCCTCGTCGACGACCCCTCTCACCTCCTCCACTCGACCTGACAACAAAAAGAATCCCGACCCTTCGGGACCGTTTCCGAAATTTAGCCATCTTGACAAGTGAGCAGGTTTAACGACCTGTCGCCGAAAAGGGAGAGTCGACGGTTCCCGACCTCCCCGGCGGTTCACAGATATAATTGCATTTTATTCCTGTTTTCTCATGAGACTTTTGGCTGATTTTACATCTTTTATTCATCACGTTCAGATTATTCGTCATATTTTCAAATGTATAATAAAAATTACTCGTCGATATGAATGAGAATATTAATTGTAAGAAATATAATTTCGATGAATGATTCTCTTATTAATTTACTTTTTTGTGATTAAAATTCTGTATTAATAGAGATTATCATAGATTATTAATTACACTGATGAATTTATTATGGGTAACGTCTCTCCCATTTTGTAAATGTTTCCAGACGATTAATTGGGGAAAAGTAAATAAGGAGAACGGTAGGTCGAAGAAAAAGAAAAAAATATAGCAAATGGCGGCAATACTCGTATATCACTTGGATGAGGTGTATCTTTAGTTTTTTTTTAATAAAATGTGAATTGGGAAAGACATAAAGTGACACACAATTTCATTATAGTGAAGTTCGCTTCGTTGAGCCGTTAGTTTGTTCTCTCGCTTACCTGTTTGATGGCTTGCCTGTAACGAGCGTTATGATATGTAAATTGCTTAATTCTAATACACGAAGTTCGATATAAATCACTTTATATAAATATAAATTAGTTTCCTTCATTTAAAAATTGTAAGGTGACATTTATAATTTGAAAATTTCATACCGAGTTTCAACGTAAATGTTTGTGGCGTTGATCATCTGTCCTGGCAGCCTTTAAATTTACACGATTTCTTCTGATTCAATTTGGTAAAAG